AGCACTCGGGAGGCAGAGGCAGGCAGATCTCTGTGAGATCAAGGCCAGCCTGGTCTATATAGCGAGTTCCAGGCCAGCTGGGGCTACAGGGAGACCCAACCAAAAGGAAAGGAAGAAAGAAAGAAACCCTTTGCTCATTCCTATTTTGTGGTTGTTCCGTCTCCTGAAATGGAAGGCAAATGTGTGTGGGTGTGAAAACATGCAGCCTCCAAAAGTGACTGTGGGGAGCTGACACTTTCAGATAAACCAGACAACCTCGGTTCAAGGCACCGGTAGCTTCAGAGAGGGTCTGTGGAAATCCAAACATGCTTAACTCCTCTGTTAAACAATTTGAAATTCCTGTTAAATAAATTTCCCATGCTACATACAGATCAGGATGGACTTGTCTCTAAGCACCAGGGATCTGCTTGTACTCCTCTGGTCATTTCAGCATAAAAGAAAATTCACCCAGCAGGGATGCGGGCCAGCGGAAGAACACTGACCTGGCATGTACAGAGCCTTGGGTTCAATCCCAGCACGCCCCAAAAAGTTTAAAGGTTTGGAAAGTTCATGTATAAATTACAGTCTCTTGGATTGGAGCGATGGCTCAGCAGTTAAGAGCACTGGTTGCTCTTTCAGAGGACCCGGGTTCGAATCCCAGCACCCACATTGTGGCTAAAAACCATTCATAACTCCAGTTCCAGGGGATTTGATACCCTCTTCTGACCTCTTCAGGCATTGCATCACACGGGTGTACTTACATATGTGCAGACAATACACTCATACACATAAACTAAAAATAAATATGGTCTTTCAATCATTGCATATGACCTTCTTTTTCTAATTTTAGCACACTGTTGCTAAGACTTTCTGGAAATGTCAATGACCATTTACATTTGTGCTTTCAATGCATGTCATATACATTCATGTAAATATTTACTCTTGATCATTTCTAGCCTCTGCTCCATCCTCATGTGCAGTAAAGACCACTGGTGATGGTAAAGTTGGTCAGTAGGAAGATTAGTGTGAGGAATTCAATGCATTATTCTGTTTTTATCCCTTCTGGAGAACAGACTTCCAGGTCAAGTCCCTAGAGGACGAACTTAAAAACGGTATATTACTAGCTACCTGGTACCCCATCCGAAGAGATCCCGGGTTCATCCTTCTATCTTTAGGACTCTTAATGTGGCACACAGCAAAAGTGCTATTTGTTCCTTTAGCATGATTTCCTTGCCAATTTGAGGCTACATTGAAAATATTTACAAAACTTCCAGGTTTTTGTTTCTGTCTTTGTTTCTTTCAGTTCTCTTTGTTCTGCCATCAGAGTAGAACTTTCTACCACCTGAACATCTCAGTCTCATATGTGGTCATGTGAATGTGCCCAACTTAAATAACACAGTGTCCCTCAGGTCAGTCTGTGATAAAACCCAAGTCAGACAAGGCCGCACCCTGGATGTTCTGTGTCCTAAGGATCTGAACGAAGGTCATGGCCAGCCCTGACTCTCAAGACCTCAGATGGTCACCTAAGCAGTGACTAAACTGGTATCAACTTGTTCTTGGGCCACTGCTGTGGGGCGGGACCAGTAAAGCAGACCTTGCCTTAAGGAGCTCAAGTCTCTCTAGGTATGAAAAAAAATGAGGGAAATGCGTTGGTAATTCCAGCAGGCGACCAGGCTACGGTGGCCCCGCTCCAGGGCTGACAGCCTCTGTGCCTTCTCCTGCCATAGCCGAGGTGCCTGTCAATGCTGTTGGCCCAAAAGAACTAAGCAACTGCTCACCTTCCAAAGCACTGCCTCTCAGCAAAACCCTGACAGTGCCAACAGCTCTTGTTTTCAACCCTCCAGAAAATGGCCTTCCAACCTGGGACAAATCAAAGCCCTGTCCAGACCGAGGACAGGACTGGAAGCTCGTAGGAATGTCCGAAGCCTGCCTGCGCGGGAAGAGCCATGCAGAGAGGAGAGGCTCACTGAAGAATGAGCAGACGTCCCCACACCTCATCCAGACCTCTTGGGCGAGCTCTATATTCCATCTGGACCCCGACGAGGTGAACGATCAGAGCATCTCAAGTGCACAGACCTTCCAGACCGAGGAGAAAAAATGCAAAGGTAGGCAGCCCGCCCCCGCCGCTTCATCTCTGGTGACTGACAGTATCTGTGAGGTCCCAGTGCTCCTCCCCAGGGCTCTTTCTTCTAAGTATAACTAAACAAGTGGGGATCCAAACAGAGCAGGCCACTCCGTGTCATCCTCCGACGCTGGAGGAGAGACCCTTTTGATCCCTTTAATGAGTGCCAGAGTTCCTTCTTTGGTCTTGGATTCTATTTTTGGCTCTGAATAGAAACAGACTTTTGCACTGATAACCACTTGCTTTGAGGTGAGGAGTGTGAGGGTCACATGCCTGTTCTGTCTGCAGTTCTGCCAGTAGCTAAAGAGATTTGGATGCCTGCTTTTAACCTATGTAGACAATTTACACTAGGAAAGGAGGTTATAACTTGTCTTCTGGTCAATAAATCCCATATCACCATCCTGAAGAGGAGATTAGGGTGTTGGGAAGTTGTCACCTCATGAAGGGAAAAAAAAAAAAAAAAAAAAGCTGCATAGGCCTGGGTTTCTGATCACATGAGACACTGGTCTTCACCTCAGGTCACCCCACCTGACAGATGTCTCTGAGCAGATCGCTTTATGGGCTTAGGGCTCCCCAAAATCTTTGCTTCTTAAACCAGTTTGTATCTAAGAAGTCAGCTTGTATCTTTATGTGATCTCTTTGACAATTTGAGAAAATCCTGGAAACATTAACAAAATTTGATTTTTTTATTCATGTAACTTCCTGTTCTTTTCCAGCTGAGAGTTTAAAAACTAATGCTTAAAAGCCATGATTAGCTTTTTGGTTAAACAAAGTAAAGTTTAAATTCTGTTCTTCAAACGTTCATACTCATGTATAGATATACAATAAGAGAATTTGTAAAGACTGATATGTGAGCCATGAAGGAGTTTTACCAGCTGACCTATCTTGAACATATATACACAATTATATTTAACATTCGTGCGAAAGAGCCCAGGTCTTCTGCCTTTTGTGGAAACGCTTTAGAACTTCTTTGTAACTTCCAGTTTACCTGGAAAATTGAGCAGATCAGTCCATTTGAAAAGAGTGTTATCTGAAGGTAATAGCCATTGATCGCTGGGGAGGGTCCTTGGCTCTGATCAGAGCACTGTCAAGGAGATGGGTATTGACTGGAAAGGTCTGTTTGAGCATCTATGTTGATTATTTAGGAAGGTTTGAGATTTTGAAAGGGATATTTCAAAAATGGCAAAATAGTTTTCAAAGGATTAGGATAGAAAAGAGATGCCTTCATGTGTGAATGAATGTGTGCATGAACATTTGTTTGAAGTAAAGCTCAGATTTATAAGCAGACTATATCTTTGAATTTTATAGGCTGCATTAAAACCATGTTTGTCCTTGACTTATATTAAATGACAACAGGAATCTCCCACATTGTCATGATTTAGGGACCTGGTAAACTAAAATTTGACTCATTCACAACTGGTACCAGAACTCATTCATTCAGACTTCTATGTTCCATCACTTGTGAGACATTTTGTCCTTGGATACCTAAAGTTCTAAACCTTAAACATTTCAGTGCGTTGGTGTCTCTTAAAACTAAGAGGAAGTGAGTGATTCAGCACTCAGGAGGCCGAGGCAGGGGAATCTTGACTTTGAGGCTGAGACTGTGTCTTTTTAAAAAACAAAAAAAAAGAGAGAACAGCAGCTAAAACGTTTGGAGAGTGACAAGTTTGGGCAGGATCCCAACCGTTCCATGTCCGTCTAGAGCAAACTTACGTGATTGTTGATAAAGATGAATAAGATAATGTATTAAAACATTTAGCACAGTGCCTGCCTGGCAGGGCACTCCAGATAGCAGCCCCAGTATCCTGTGGTCATTATTATTAGCTATGCATCATTAATCACATAAATTCTGTGAACTGCGGTGGGTGCCTGGTAAGGAATGGAGTTAGAGGGCTACAACCGATGAGGGCGGGCGGGCACGGTGTCTCAGGGAGCTCAGGGTCTTCTCTCAACTCTCTCACTGAAATTTGGAGAATTACTAGTATGAATGCAGTGGAGCAATTACAGCAACGCCTGAACAGACACAGCCTGACCCTTCACATCCATTCAAACCAAGAGTGGGCCCAGTCTGTTCTGAGAACGTGTTTCCTCAGAGCGCTTTCTGAGCTGCCCTCCAAAGGACTTGCTCTCTTTTGAAGCACTGCTACGTCAGCATGGCATGGAAAGGAGTGAGGGATCTGTCTCATCAAAGGATTTTCCCTCTCTGACCCCTAGAACAGCCACAGCCACAAACACATCATCAATCCAATCCCACCTGTTGTTTTCAACACAAGAGGGATAATTCATTGCTTTCAACAGTATTTGGTATTTTCAGGTTTTCATATTTTCACAACACACACACGACACGACACACAACACACATATACACAACACACACAACACACACATACAACACACACAACATACACAACACACACAACATATACAACACACAACACACACACAACATACACAACACACACACAACACACTATTCTGGCCCAGGGCAAGGAAGGGTCATGAGGGATTAAAGCTTAGCTGAGGAACCCAAGACCTAGTAAGCTTGTTTACATTGTAAACATTGTAAACAAGCTGAGATGGTTCCCAGAAAAACCCTTTCCACAATGAAAATATAGTTGAATATAGTTACATCATTAAAACACATCTCATGAGTCCAGAACTGAGAGAAAAGTAGCTAAGGCAAGCTTTGTGAGGTTTGCAGATACCTCCGGGGTCCGCTTTGGCCTGAGCATAAAATGATGTCCCGATTCAGCATGAAAATTACCAGGAGGCCCATGTCACTGTGGCCAAGGATCTTATAAAGAAAACTTCCCTCACTCCCCACAGACCCCTGGATTTAGGAAGGTACTAGTGAGTGATGTATACGTTTTCCTTTGACTCTCCATCTTCTCCCACTGTGTCTGTAGAATCTGGAAGGAAGTGTTGTTTGGTAGCTGTTCATGCTGGACACTTACTTCCTAGCTGACCATCAGTCTCAAAGCATGCTTGGGATCTGCTCTCGACCCTGAGCCGCCCTTCTGTGCTTTATCCACCAGTGTTTGTACAAGGCCTACTGCGTTCAGGACCTTGTGCTTGATGTCCAAGGGTAAAGAAAGAGTATTGGGGATGAAAGAACATCAACGAGCCTCATTTAGAAACTTTCATAGCATCTTAGCATCACCGCACACCTGGTTCTTGGTGGACCAGACTTTTTTTTTTTTTTTAGATTTTATATGTTTATTTTATGTGTATGAGTGCTTTGCCTGCATGTATGTAAGTGTACCACATTCATGCCTGGTACCCACAGAGGCCAGAAGAGGGCATCAAATCCCCTAGAACTGGAATTAAGGATAGATTTTAGTCATTATGTGGGTGCTGGGAACCAAACCCAGGTTCTCTAGAAGAGCCTGAGCCATCTCTTCAGCCCAGATTTTTTTTTTTTTTTTTTTTTTTTTTAAGACAGGGTCTCCTTATAGCCCCAGCTGTCCTGGAACTCACTATGTAGACCAAGCTGGCCTTGAACTCACACAAAGATCCACCTGCCTCTGCCTCCCAAGTAACCAGATTAAAGGCATGCACCACCACACCTGGCCTTCCCAGATGTTTTTTAATAATAATTTACATCAAATAGTTTGAGAAGCATTGACTTGTGTTTATGATACTCTTAAATGCTTTTTGCTTTAAGCTTATTTGGGGTGTGTATCTAATACGTATTTCCCAGTTTGCTCTGGATTTATTTTAAGCTACACACCCACACTCTTCATCAGACTGAGGGGTTACCATGGTACATTTGACTAGAAGACGGGCTCTGGAGTCCTCACATCCTACTTCAGAGACCACAGGACAAATCTTCTGTGGAATCAGCATCAGAGGCCATTCCAGGTGCAGGAGAAGGACTCATTCCCAATCCCCACTAGGCCTCACACACGCACAAACACATACGTACACATATACACATATATGCACACTTACACATACACACATATGCGCATCTACACATATACACACATACACACGTACACATGCACACTTACACATATACACACTTACATATATATATATATATATATATATATATACACATACACAAACATACAGACAATTCCCAATGTCTACATGCTATATACCTCCTTGGGAGTTACTGTCCATTGGAATTGATCACTCTGCCTCGAGGGCCATATCCAGCATTTCACCACCTCCTCTCTCTCCACAGTCTGAGACGACACCTTCGGGGCTCCAAGTATGGCAACAAGTGGGGTCAACAGCCTTTCCATCAGTGTGTGAGAACAGGGAGCCTAAGCCGGATGTGATGGCTCACTCCTATAATCCCAGCATTCCAAGGAGAGTAGGTTCGAGGCCAGCCTGGGTTACATAGTGAGACTGTCTAAGCTAAAAATGGACAAGAGGAAGTTAAATCTGAGGCCCCTCCAGGACCACCGGATTGGAGAGTCTGGAGATGGGCTGGACCCTGGAATCTGTCAACCATCACTTCTGGTGGTTTGAAGCCTGCCTGTCCCACCTTTGAGAACACTCAGGGCAGGAAAGGGCCTGCCACCTAGTGGGTACCCTGGGATGCGCCTGCCCCTCCCTTCCCAGCCCCAGGTGCGGCTGGTTCTCCACTCTTGTGACTTTCCTTTGGGCCTGACAGTATGCTCACTCACTCCGCTGATAACAGTGCCCTTGGGTGCAAAATCCCTCTAGGGAGCCCACAGGCAGGGCAGGAGCTCCTCCGCCCTCCTAAGTCCTAACAAGGCTTCCCTCCCCCCAGGACACTTCTCCTCCCTCTGCCTGTTCAGGCCCCTAAACATCTGTCAGGAACCACAGAGTCTAGCAGACCCAGAAGGTCACAAACAAATGCGTGAACCCCCAGAACTGGACCTCACCAGCCCACTGAGTGCACACAGTGGGGCTTCATGTCAGCCAGGAGCCTTCCTGAAGCAGGGGAGCCTGGTGGGAGGACAAGCCAGGCTGAGCTACCTCCCTAGTCCAAAGCGGAAGGACAGA